TTATAATATCATGAAATACATATAAAAGATGGCTGGAGATCGGTGTAGTAAATTCCAGAACTCAAGAAAAGATATAATATTGACATTATATGATCCCACAGTCAATCAAGTCAAAAATAATAGACTTCAAAATGCCTTTTATTAACCACTCATCTTTAATTGCACTTAATTCGGAGCTGGCCCCCCGATGCAATGTTCCCAAGGGAATTATTAACTGGCGCTAATAAAACGCTTCAAGGTATTGGGTTACCATCAGAATGGCATAAATCAAGTGCCGGATCCTGATGGCTAATGGCCAGCGGCGAAGGAGGAGGCTTTGTTACCAATTTATAAACAAACAAAACGATTCCGACCGACAACAAAGGCAGGGACATCGGCGGCAGCATCAAATTACCACAAGATCTCCGATCCCGATCCCTAAAACCCAAAACCAAGCTAAAACCCAGACCGACCGAAACCCATACCCATGCCCCGCTTCTTACAAAACGTTCAGGATCAGCTTTCACAAGATGCAACTTAGATTTCGAGTCCCCAGTTGCAGTTGCACTTTACGGCCAGTTTGTCATTCATCGCAGAGCAAAACACAAAACACACAATAATAACGTTTTAATTGAACAAAAGACAGGGCAGGGAATCCAGCAAGAATCCAGAGAGCCAGTCGAGCAACAATTGACGATTGTCGTAGGAATCGTATTCGGATTGCATTTGTATCGTATCGTATGGAAGGAGTCTCTGTTCGCCTGCAGTTTTGCGGCTGCCTCATGAGGTTTGTTTTTTTGTAGCCGTACGAGTATCTTTGTATCTGTATCTGGTTTTTCTAAAGTGACTGTGACTGTCACCTTTCCATCAACTTGAAGGCAGGCGGCTGGTGAAAGGCTCTCGTCTCTTGACGGCCGTCCACGTGCCAAGAAGCGGCATTGTTTGGCGACTTTTGTTCGATGCCTGCTCCTCGATGGTAATTGATTAGCTGGCCAGCAGCGAAACGAAGCGAATCAATGGGCACGTATAAAGGATCCCCTAATGAGATCCATTTGTTGATGAATAAACTGTGTGCGCACAACCAGCTGAAACACTAGAACATATAATAATGGCCATATTATGTTGCCTAATTGGGGGAGGGAATTTTCGGGAAGTAAATATCTTTATTAGGACACCCTTATCTTTATCAGTACCTTTTGGGTGATATATTATGTGTCGTAATGTCATAATTGTGGCTAAAATTAGTTAACAAAGTCACTGGAGCATACTAATCAAAGAAATATAAATTTTAACTTTTCTTTTCCACCATTTTGTTTTGAAATTGGGAATATGCAACTCAAAATAAGAACATTTATGGGTAGTCTTTATTTACGAACCCGTTTTGAATAATATATCGTAAATATCATAACTGATAGATTTTCGTAGTAAGAAAGTTTAAAAGTGAAATCGAAGGTGTTTGAATTAATTGTAAATTTAGTGTAGTTTTTGTTATTGTTAATAATATTATATAATATTTATAAATTTTCACACAATGCCTAAGCCTCTGTCCACAACTAACAACTGAGAGAACCAAAGAATTTTTTAAGATTTTTTTTAAATTTTTTTACATTGTGCCTTTATCAGCATTTGTAAACAATAGATTCAGTTAAATAATACATTGATTCGGTATTTTCATTTCAAAAATACATAGTAACTCTCAACTGCCTAGCATGCTAGACTTTGATTAAACTATACCAGCTAACCCGGGGAACCCGCATCCTTGCAGTTCCTATCCGCTTCGAGGACAATTAAGACTCACGCCCCCGTTGCGTGCCAGGGAAAACAGAATGCGAAAAGGGATCGAGATGATCCTGCTGTGCCCGAGGTCCTGGCATGTGGTCAGTAGACAGCCGTCTAGTATCAGTACCCCCGTCTAGGATCAGGATGCCATTCCCATTTCCAATCCCATTCCCATCCAGAACTTGGCAGTTTTTGCGCTGCGAGATGTTTTTGCCGGGCACTTGTCTTTAACAAATGACACACGAGCACTTGATAAATGAACGGCAGCTGATAATGGATTTCGTATTTCTTTCTTTTTTTCCTGGATTCCTGTTTTTGGTCCAGTGAAAGTAGCGCCAGGGATGGCAAACGGCGATAAGCCGTCCAAGGACTCCGATTTCTGGTGGTCCGATAAGCAGGGCAGTGCAAAAGGTAATTAAGTGCCATTAAAAGTTGAGTGGAGAGCCGGCATTCCTCGGGGCAAATGTATCTGTATCTGTTTATCTGCCGGATGCAGCGGCAGAGCGAGAGAGGAAAAGAGACCCAGCGAATCGAAGGAGGAGCACAGAACGACACCAAACCAACACCATCACGAGAATGCCAGAATGCCAGAAGACCAGAAGAACACCACACACAAAGACACAAAGACGGACAAATCAGACAGACGATTAACATACAAAAGGATCTCCACGAACTTTGGAGCCCGCCTTCTTCTCGGCGAATGTATCTGTATCTGTATCTGTGTGGAGTGGCGTGGAGTTTCTCTGTGCGCCAATGGGCATGAATCACCGCGGGGAGGTGGGGCATCATGGGGTTAAGCAGCCAAAGCGACGACGGAGAGACTGGGTTTTGATGGCAGAACTTACCATCCAAATTATATCGATTCTTATTCTCTTGGCTTAATTTATTTGAATATTTCAATCAATTCTAATACCTAATTTTTATTTTAATATATCACAATTTATTCTGTGATAATAATACAATGTAGTTTACGAAAATATTTCTTCTAGTATTCTTAAGAACCGTGGAAATACCCGGGAAATTCGATGCTGGGTATAAGTAGGGAAGCACAAGTGCCGGACAGACGGCGACAAGTGAAGAACTGGACAGGAACAAAGGCTACTTAAGCAGCCTTGGCGCCAGTTGGCCATGTGTGGTCAAGTAAAGCCACAATGTCTGGCAACGCTCCATTTGGTCAGTCTTTCGACCAGACGACGCCAAACGGACTTCAATGGGATCGCAACTGAGTAGGGAGTAGATGGGATTTCTCTCAGATGAGCTTCATTTCCGGTTGTCACACAATAGTAAAGTCCTTATAGGACTTTAATCTTCAAAACAGCCGATGCAACAAAAGATCTTAGGACTTATTATAACAATCAGAAAGAACATTTAATTTTATAAAGAGGAAAGCAGCTGTACTTATTCTTAATAAACCAAAAAAATTAAAAATATAATTTTATTTAAGTGTATTTACTACTTCCTCCACCCCAATCAGACCTTTGAGATCCCCAACTGCCAGCTTTGGCTAAAACCTTTTGGCTTTGTGTGAGTTTTAAAGGCAGCTCCACCTACCAAACCCCGATATTCGCCGTCTTCTTGGCTGGTCTGCAGCACCTGCTCAGTAAAAAGCAGCAAAAACTGCAACTACAACTGCAACAGCAACTGCAATCTTTTGTGGCAGAGTCACGTTGGCTGCGCATGCGCGGGTGTTTCGAAGACGGAGAAGAATTGAGGAAAGAGGCCCGAGTTACCAAAGCGTAGAGTCATCTCCACAAACAAACAAACGAACAAGTGCAACAACAAAAAAAGGCAGTTAAAATGCATTTAGCTGGACGACTGCCTGTGTATTGGTGCCGGGAGTATCTGTGTGCGCCTGAGTGCGAAAGAGCCGGCATGTGTCATTCTTATGGCTGCCACCGCTGCCCTTTTTTTACCTCTTGCCTTCCGACCAATAAAATTATACTAATTCCTGACTTTTTGATTTCATTTTCTGTGTTTGTGTGTTGTTGCCAAGGATTTCGTTACCTAAGCACACACACACGTGAAACGAAAGTCGGGGGCTCTCGCTCGCACATCCATGGCATGTGCGGTGATCGGTGATCATGATCATGATCATCGTCATTATAGCATCGCTGCCTGGCTGGCTGGCACATTCGAACGGCGGAGCATCGGAAGATCCGAGGTCCCAGACTCCAGGAATGCGCAGACAGTTTGGTTTCGTACTTGGCTCATTGCGCTCGTGCAGCTCGAAATCCCAATCCCAATCTCCCAATACCCGACAGCTAAATGCTCCACTCTGCTGGCCGAAGGAAACGAGTCGGCTGATTGGATACTTAATTCGCAGCAGTGTAAAATGTAAGTAGGGGTCTTTTGGAAGAATGTTTGGAAGAGTGTTAGAAAATTTCAGAATTTTTATTTATTTTCGTTAAGAACTCAAAGTTATATTTTGCTATTTATAGAAACTTTAATCTGCAGAGAATAAAATTGATATTATTGTCTGCCTTGTTAAAAGGAAATAATTGTTTGAAATATTGCATTGTAGTTTCTGACTATCAAAAACAAAATGATTTTCTTAAGGGAAGTGTTTGTTCTAAATTTTGTGAGCAAAAACTCGGCTTCGTCATTTTATTTGTTAGCTCATTATTAATTTCGAAGCAATTTACAAAATTATTTATTAATTTTTTTAGTGCTTATTGAGCTTCTTCAAAAATCTAAAAATGGTAAAGCCAAATTTTTTATAAATTTAGCTTATAAGAGTACTTAGAAGATTATTCTCTATATTTCTAATTAAATTAGAGATAACATTTCACCATTATTCGAAAACCTAAGTGCCAACCCCAACTTTTACAAAATGCCTGCCTTGAAATCCCAAAGATTTTGAAAACCAAAAAGCTCAGAAGGTATGGACGATTCTCTCCAGAGAAACCACTCAAAGCCCCAGAGAACGTCGACCAATTAACTGGTTGAGTGTTTGTGTGGTCACTCGAGAGAGCGGCGATAAAACGAGGAAGATTTTGACGTCGCGCTGGCTGGGAATCCGAGTCCGAGACCGAGAAACGCTAGACGAGATGCGTGATCATGATCGCGATAATGATGGAGATGGGGCTAAAGCCCCAAGTCTTCGAGTTCTCCCCGAACTGCGGCTCTCTCGGCTAGGCACTCGCTCTCTCGTTCGCCGCCGAAGTGTGTATCTGTGTGTGCTCGGCGCTTCAGTGTGTGTCTGTAGCCGAGCCGAGTATCTGAAGTATCGGAATCAGGTAGAGGTAGACAGAAAGGCGTTAGTCGTTCAACAGCGCTGATCGAGTTTAAATCTATAGCGAAATGAGCGGCGGACAGTGAGCCACTTGGCGTGAACCCAAAGCTTTCGAGAAAACAATTCTCGGGCCACCAAAAAAATACAGAAAATACAAAAAGTATCTGACTGATTCGCGTATCGTGAGGCGTGAAGATCGATCTCGATCCCTCCGAAAAAACAAAAAGATATCGGTGCGGAAACAAAGAAATTGAGGCATTTGAGGTTGTTGTGCGCGAGTGTGTGTCTTCTGCTGGGTGTGTGGAATGTCAACTGACGGGTTGTAAAGGGAAACCCTGAAATCCGAACAGCCAGCCAAAGCAAATAAAGCTGTGAATACGAAATAAGTACAACAAACAGATACAGATACAGATAGAGAAACAGATACTGGCGATGCCTTGAGATACAATTTAAAGAAATACAGTGCGTGAGTGTCAGTTGGAAAATATGTGGATAATCTGCCAGCCGTCAGCCGAAGGAGCCGCCGGGTGACAGGTGCACCGCCCAGAGCCACCCAGATCCCGATCCGCATCCAGATCCTAACCCCGTGTCATGTGCCGCGGCTTTCCAATCCCAGCCACATCTACCGACCAGGTGCGCCTCGAATGCGGCAACACTATTTTCAACAAGAACTCGATCTACTTCATCTACAATTATCGAAGGAAACAGAAAACAGTAGCCGAGCCGACATCCCTATCAGATATTTACACAAGCGTGATTTATTTGAAAAGCGAAACGACCGGAGCGCCATAAACATCTGTAAATTGTGCAAATATATCCAAGTGTAACCGAAAGCCGCTCGCCGCGATAACGGATCCCATTCCCATTTTGATTTTGATTCTGATTCTAATACTGAATTCCCCAAAAACCGATCCCGTCATAAATTCAGTGGAACGAAAAGTGTACGAGACAGTTGGTCGCTCCTATTTTGCTTGCTTATTCCGGGCTATCCATCACACGGCTTTCGAATTAATAACCGAACACATGTCGTATCGATATTCGACTTGAGCGATACGGGCACCAAACGGGAGATCCAATATCAAGCGATACCACCACTCGACCATAGGAAACTTTATAAGACTGAGGTGAGTGCCAGTGCCGGGCCTTCGTCCACAAGACCTAAGCTTATGTAAATGTGTCAGAAAACTGAAAAACTGAAAGACAGAAAGGGGCGGAGGTGAATATCTGAACTTGTGAGAACTGCACACAAGACGATTGCATAATGACATCGAATGCACCCATTCGATATGTAAAAGCCAAGTTCATTTGATATTGATCAAATAATTGGCGGTGCGAGGAATTTTCGGGTTGTTCGCCTTGTCGATGGCATGTGGCATTCAGTATTCGATATTTGAGAGAACTCAAATTGCTCTTCGCCAAAACTTGGCTATTCGAATTGGTAATGGGATATTTGGCAAATGTGGTTCGGCAGAAATTATGTTAAAGTCAATTGGTTGGGAATATTCTGATCCAGTAACTCTTCTTTAATTGATTCAATTTAAATAATATTTAAATATTACAATCTATGAAAAATTTAATTTAATTAAAAGTTTATGCTCAGTAATAAAATCAAGATTAGACTTCGTTAAAATGGTCACCTAGAACTAGAGTTTAAATTGTATTTTTAGGTCTTTAAAAAAGGTTCTAAGTAATTTTTTTTGGTAATTTATAGTTACCAAATATCAAAATAAGTGTTTCCGAAGACCTACCTTTCCTTATAAATATGGCCTTGACTTAAATCAACCTGTTGCTAGGACAATTTTGGGTTGCGCTTAATCAAAATATTTCCCCACGTACATCATAATCGTATTGTACTCTGGCCAGGGATCCTATTCCAAGAACTTCCCTGACCTTTGTTGGCCAGCACAATAAAGTACCGTTTTGATACACAACTAATATTATAGATGGGAACCTCTCAAAAATCTTTAAAAAAAGGAGAACATAAAAAGCGGCGGCAAAGACAAAACAAAAACGTCAATATCCTGGCACATAAATAACCCAGCAGAATATAGTCTTCGATTCTATTGTATCCGCTGGGTGCGTGAGTGTCCAAGGGTTTTGTGCCCACGTTGGCGTTTATTATTAACCAATCTAATTGCTGACGTTGTGCGGCACAGATTACTATGCTATATCTTGATTTTTTAGTATTGGGTAACCGGAATAAAACGTTAATCATTAATAATAAAAATGTGTCAATTTGCGAAACATTTCGGAGTCGTTGGTGCTGCGACAAAGAGCTGAAATTTGAACTTTAGCAGGCACTTGCGACATTTCACAGCTCGGATTGAGCTGAGTGCGAGCTATATAGATATTATATATATTATGATATCTGGTGTCTAGTGCGCGTAGTTTCACTGAATGGACAGCGAGCTTGGAAATCCCGGATATCGCCTGGCATTCATCGGACCGATCGGTCTAGGGGAAACCCCCTCTTCGGGGCAGGTAGTAAAGAACCTATAAATACGGCTAAACTCTGGCTGGAACTGAAACGGATAACTGAAAACTGAAAACCACACGCAACCACAACCCACGGCATACGAAATTCTGGGAACATATTAAAAACAAACAACAAATTATGAACAAATCATAAACATATTTATGAAATTTAATTTCATTCACCCTTTCCATGGTTTTCCCCTCCAATTTCCTAAGTTCAACCAATTTTCCCGTCGACCCGACGTTTCTTATCAGAGGCCCAAGATCTTGTGTGCACCCCCCAGCGTGTGCCATCTTTTCGAAAATTCCAATTTCCAATTTAACCATTTAACCGAAAGATCCCGATCCCGATTCCCAATCCCTTTGCGCTTAAGCGCCCTGTCATATAACAAATTTTTGTTTTTAGTACAAGATAAGATGGTAATCTTTATGTGAAAAACAACATGTAATTTGTTCTAGGTGTGTGCGTGTGCGTATGGCGTACCTTTCTCAAACTCATCTTGAGATAAAATCTCGGAAATTTATAGCCTATAACCAAAATATATAGAATACTTCTAATAATTTTCATAAATTTTCCAGATAGGGTTTTTGAGCATTTGCCGCCTGTTTGTAAATCAAAGCGTTATAGCTATAGCGTTTGCGATAAGTGGAAAATATGACGATCGAAGCTACTCTAATAACCGAAAAGTACAAAAAAAAGAATTGGGGGAATGGTATGGGGCTATATTGAATTTCTATTCGTAGACACAAAACGATAAACCTGGTCCCAAAAGATCGTGTGTCAGTGCAAAAGGTGCAATGTCCGCCTGCGATTGCAACACTTGCCGAAGAGCAAGTGAGAGGGGTGGTTGTTTAGAGTGGGAGGGGTGGTAGGGAGAGGGAGTTCGAGGCTCGGGAGAGAGAGCCACCATTTTTTACCGGCACCTTTCACCCCGTAGGACCATAGCCATAAAACTTTTGGACCGGCGCTCTGCGCTGCTCTCTTTATTTTCTCAAATGGGCCAAAAGGAAGCGACGTCGATCTGCCGCTGCGCTGCCACTGCCTCGGCCGCAGTCGCAGTCGCAGCTACCGCCGCTGTCGACGTCGCTTACCTGCCGAAGAAGAAGAGCCAGCGTTCAGTCGCGCAGCGCACGTCGTCCAACGCACACACGCTCAGAGACGCACACATATAAAGAAAGATACCGCGAAAGATACAGATACCAGATATTATCTGTCAGATACGAAAGAGTTGGACCCCTATAGTCGTCCCGCTTGCACCCATGGCCGCCTGAGTGTGAGTGCAAGAGCGGATTGAGTGGAATACGATCTCGGTCCCAGTCCGAATCGAATTCGGATTCGGATCTGGAATCGAAATCGGAATCCACATCCGAGTCCCTAGTTCTTAGCACATCCCGAAGCTATAACCCTTGACTTAACCCATGTTTTCGTCTCTTTTCAGAGTTGCAAGCGACCATGCGCGCATGGCTTCTACTCCTCGCAGTGCTGGCGACTTTTCAAACGATCGTTCGAGTTGCTAGCACCGAGGATATATCCCAGAGATTCATCGCCGCCATAGCGCCCGCGCCCGTAGCCGCTCAGAGTCCGCCAGAAGGATCATCTGGTTCCAGATCGGGCGGAGCATCAACCAGCACAGCATTAGCAAAAGCATTTAATCCATTCAACGAACCCTCCTCCTTCAGTGATAGTGATAAAAGCCATCTGAGTAAAAATCAAAGCAACCGCAGCAGCAACAGCAAAAAATCACATAGCAAAAGTGACGCGAACAATCGACAGTTCAACGAAGTGCATAAACCAAGAACAGACCAATTAGAAAATTCCAAAAATAAGTCTAAACAATTAGTTAATAAACCCAACAACAAAATGGCTGTCAAGAAGAACCATAGCCATCATCATCGGAGTAGTCATCACCAGCACAGGCAGCAGCCCAGAAAAGGAGCAGCCTCATCCACAGAATCTCATCAATCGTCGATTGAATCAATCTTCGTGGAGGATCCGACGCTGGTGCTCGACCGCGAGGTGGCATCCATCAATGTGCCTGCGAATGCCGGCGCCATCATCGCCGAGCAGGGCCCGTCCACCTACAGCAAGGAGGCGCTCCTTGTCAAGGACAAGCTCAAGCCGGACCCCTCCACTCTAGTCGAGATCGAGAAGAGCCTGCTCTCGCTGTTCAACATGAAGCGGCCGCCCAAGATCGACCGCTCCAAGATCATCATCCCCGAGCCGATGAAAAAGCTCTACGCCGAGATCATGGGCCACGAGCTCGACTCGGTCAACATCCCCAAGCCGGGACTGCTGACCAAGTCGGCCAATACAGTGCGAAGTTTTACACACAAAGGTGAGTTTCCGATTTTAATATATTTTAATAGCCATTTAATTCACAACCGGAAGCGGATATATTACTTAGAGGATGCCTCTTCCGTTTTTTTCATTGTAGAATTATCTATATCATTTTGAAAGGCAATACTTAAACGGTTTAAATATTTTGTTAGCTAAAAATAATGATAGTCCTGCTTTTTGTATTAAAATATCACTTAAAACGGGTTAAATTCATTTTCAGAAGATATTTTAGTTACTACTTATTAAAAACTTGGATGATTTAATATGTAGCCTTTAGTATGAACCAATATCTAAATTTAAGATATGCAGACCTTTATGGATTTTTCTGTTTTAGTGGCACTCTTTGAGGCATCTTTTGAATATATTTTAAACATATATCGTCAGAATTATATTGCCTTTTTATAAGAAGAATAATTTCCATTTTGATGGAAGAATGTTGATCCAATAAATTGTATACATACTGGTTTATCTAGATCGTTTGATACATATTTATTTTGCGAAAAGATTAAAAGGTATATTTAAATGAAAGAACTAGGAAATTTGATTAGGAAATGGATATACATATAGGCCAAGAATATTATAAACAGAGCAACTTGCCTACTTTATTAGGACATACAAATGTAATCCAATCCATTTTCGATTACTTCCTATACCTGGGTTTTCCACCTGCTCTTTGCGCACCGCCAAAAGGCTTCGATCTGTATTACCCCTAATTTATATATTCCCACTCATCGCAACGCGTACTTTCCGCTACCAAAATGCGAATGAAGACCGAATCGGATTTTCCCTGAAATTCTAGTTCATCTAAGCGATTTGCATACCTGCTCTTCTCCTACATGAACACCCCGATCCTGCGATCCCCCGATCCACCCCTCATATCATTCACGCAAGCGCTGTGAAATCACGCGGAAATTCCACGGCTTTTCCAAATGAACAGCTAAAAGGACACGAGAGTCCTTTTACCTGCTCTTCCGCGACGACAGCCCGGCAGTGACCTTGAAATTTTTCCCCGGAATTACACCAGGAACGTTTAGCGCATGCGCTAAATGGCTTTTATATTGTATTTGTAGGAATAACAATTATTATTAAAGCGTATTTCGCATTATTTTCCGCAGGATTATATGGTCGAACAATAAAGCAGTTAGGAGCAGGTAAACAGGCAACACACAAACCAAGTGTCTAAAGCCAAGTGTCTAAGCCGACTGGCGAGTCGAGTTTGTCTTGGTTACGGTTCAGTTTTTGGCCACGTCCTAAGGATGCGGCATCTGTGCCGTTTTCGGTCTTCAGTTTTGGGTTTCGGAACCCATCCCTCCGCCTGATTCTCGCTTCCCAAAAGAATTTACGACTCGCTTTTCTCTTTGTGCGAGGTACTTGAGAGCGGCGTCGATTCAAATTAAGATTTCCTCGGCAAGCGTGCAGAGTTTGCACCTTGCCGGTGTATATATACATACTCGTATAATATACAGATCCCAAAAGGTAGGCCGGGGTGGGCCAGGGTCTTTAGCACAGGCGCCAGTCGTAAAAAGGCGGCTGGACAACTGGAACGTGCGATTTTCGACCTTCTTTGTCCCAGATTTCCCGAATGCACTTTCCACGCTCTCGAGCGGTGGGTGTATTTAAGCAGGGGGTACTTACTTACTCAGCAATCCAGAAACCAGGAATACAGGTAGTCGGACTCTCTGGCCGACCGAAGGTGTGTCTAATCGTCTGGCAGGAGATCCGAGCCCGCTTTATATCACCTGATCCGCCGGATCGTCCGGCTTAATTCGCTGATTCCGATTTAGGGGGGTATAAAACAGGCAGGTGATAGATAAGGCTTGGTTAACATTCTTAAAAAACAGAAATATACAATATTTGCGAAATCAAAAAATGAATTATTTTATGGAACTTGGAGAAATGATAACATAAACATAAATCTTTTATGTACCCAGTATTTGAATATTAGATGATTTATTTAAGGGCAAAGGGATATAACTATTTTCTAAAAGCTTAGGGAGTGGCAGGAAATATATTTTTTATTATCATTTACTTTATATGTTTCTTAAATTAAATATTTCTTTTGAAAGGGCTTTTTAAGTAAGGCAACTAGGCGAACATAAAAAGAATTAATTATTTAGATATCATCAATTTTGTTAATATTACTTTTAATCCTCATTTTCCAACACCAAACTTACCTGTTACCCCCTTTTTCTCCCATTTCCAGATAGTAAAATCGACGATAGATTTCCGCACCACCACCGGTTTCGTCTGCACTTCGACGTGAAGAGCATTCCCTCGGACGAGAAGCTGAAGGCCGCCGAGCTGCAGCTGACGCGGGACGCACTGAGTCCGCAGGTGGTGGCCAGAACGTCGTCGGCGAACCGCACCCGCTACCAGGTGCTCGTCTACGACATCACGCGGGTGGGGGTGCGGGGCCAGCGGGAGCCGAGCTATCTGCTGCTGGACACCAAGACGGTCCGGCTGAACAGCACGGACACGGTGTCGCTCGATGTCCAGCCGGCCGTGGACCGGTGGCTGGCGAGTCCGCAGCGCAACTATGGACTGCTCGTCGAGGTGAGGACGGTGCGATCGCTGAAGCCGGCGCCACATCATCATGTACGCCTGCGCCGCAGCGCGGACGAGGCGCACGAGCGGTGGCAGCACAAGCAGCCGCTGCTCTTCACCTACACGGATGATGGGCGGCACAAGGCGCGCTCCATCCGGGATGTTTCCGGGGGAGAAGGGGGCGGTTCGGGGGGCAAGGGCGGAAGGAATAAGCGGCAACCGAGGCGACCGGCGAGGCGCAAGAATCACGACGACACCTGCCGGCGGCACTCGCTGTATGTGGACTTCTCCGATGTCGGCTGGGATGATTGGATTGTGGCACCGCTCGGTTATGATGCGTACTATTGCCACGGCAAGTGCCCCTTCCCGCTCGCCGATCACTTCAATTCCACCAATCATGCTGTGGTGCAGACCCTGGTGAACAACATGAATCCCGGCAAGGTGCCAAAGGCGTGCTGCGTGCCCACGCAACTGGACAGCGTGGCCATGCTCTATCTCAACGACCAAAGTACGGTGGTGCTGAAGAACTACCAGGAGATGACCGTGGTGGGCTGTGGCTGTCGATAGATTCGCACCAGGAGCACCACTTTTCTATTTCTATATAGGAAAAATGGAAAATGGAAAACGAAAGGAAATCGCGAGCGAGAGAGCATCAAATGCTGTTTGGTTCCAAGCCGTCAATGCTTTAAACACAACGCAAACAAAATGGACTGAATATTTGAATTTTAAGTGTAAATCGTTAGACTTTAATCGTATAAAAAAGGCGGCAGCCACGCCCCCACGCCCACGCCCCCGCAACCACAAGAAAACACCGCCCACCTACGGAGCCTCTGTCGATTTCCCCAGCCAGGCTGAGGAAAAATCCTAGATCAGAGCGATTTTGAGAGCGCAGAGTCCACTGTATATAGCCGCCATGCCACGCCCCCCTTAATCCCCACCACCCCAAGCCCATCCGTCAGATACTTCAGATATTAGATACTTTCGTATCTGTGTGAGCTGCTGCTGCTGAAGATACAGAAGAAGGAGAAGAAGAGGATTACGTGTAAGAGTTAAATCGACCAATTGAACAAATTGTATAAAAATGCTAATATATATATAAATATTAAACAACTATATCGATGCGAACTGGTATCTACTGTATGTACATGTTTGTGGAAAGGAGACCTATTCTACTAGCCGTTTTTTGTTAATAATTTTATAAAGCAATAGCAATCCATTTGTAAATTAACTAGCGCGAGTATAATCGAATAATGACTTGAAATTACTTAGGAACTATCAGTCCTAAACACATAGTTTTAGAAACAGATATTGTATATGTACTAAAAATACCTATATACTTTATACACACACACTCATCCATAAGCACACACACATACAAAACAAACACATATCGACGAAAGGGTATTCAAGCTTCGTTCCGAATTCAACTAAACGTAACTGTATAAACAAAACGTATGCTCTATAAATATATGAATAACTATTTACATCGTTATGCGTTCTAAGCTAAGCTCGAATAAATCCGTAAACGTTAATTAATCTAGAAACTTAAGACCTATCGCCTAAGCTCAGCATGTTGGATAAATTAATAGAAACGAAAGAAACAAAAAAAAACAAAAATCACACAAAAAGAAAGTCCGATGAATGGAAAATATCGATTCGTGCCTGATGTTGCAGAGCACGATTTGTATATGTAATTTTTCATATAAACTTTATTATTTTATTTATTTAAAACAAAGCATATTTTTGATGACGACGATGATGATGATGAGCGGGAGCGAAAAAAAAAAGAAAGATGAAAAATATAAAAGAAAAACAATTTATTAAAAGAATAAGCAAAGTTGATTTATTTATTTTAGATTTGAGTTGGGGGAAAGAAGGAACTTAACTAAAAAGTAATTTTTGTAATATTAAAAAAAAATGATCCTTCGAGCCGGATTTGAACCAGCGACCTATGGATGTCTACACTCGTTGCACTTCTACAGTCCACCGCTCTACCAACTGAGCTATCGAAGGTGTTGTCAGCTCAGGTGCTAGTTCGAAATTTTGTCACCTTATCAAAATAAATTCAGCAAGTACTAAGCAAAAAATCAAATCAAGCGAAACAATGGCAAAACGCTTATCGCAGCATTAAAAGCGCCAACAACAAAACTGTCACAGGTAATACCCCAGTACGTGTTGATAAGAAAACCAAGTGCCAAAGCTATAGATTAAAAACATAAGAAAAAGGCATAGCATTTAGTGGAGAGGTGGAAAACCAGCTGCAAAAGCTCAGCTCAACGGGTAATTTGTTAATTAAATGAGTCCGCTCGGAACGACTGATAACGATCTGCATGCATATCAACTTCTCTAGAACTGTCTAAAACGTAACAAATTGCTGGCAAATGAAACGATAGGAATCTGGAATAACTATTCAAACAGCTGAATGAACTTTGATGCTGATAAGGGTGGGTAATAAATATTAATTATACTACATTTCAGGTCAACAGCACATTTTTCGTATTCCCAGTTGATTGTTTAAATCAATGTCAAGTGATTGAAATTGCACAACAACTTGAAATGGTCAGAAGGTAAAAAAAAAATATTTTTAAGAGTTCCAAGCTAAAACTATTTTTCTAGCGAACTTTTTTTTAATTGAAATGATGAATGATATATTTACTATATGAAAAGTGTATTTTCAGCTGAATTTAAATCGCAGAATTGAGAGCATACAAAGCTGATAAGAATGGGGATTGCCCTATACTCAGCTTTAGTTTGAAAATCCCGATTTGACCTTGGTCTATTAATAGCCTTAGCGATTAAATGCTATTACAAAACTAAATGAAATGAAAATCAAGCGAAAGATGCAATTCCGTCGCAAGAAGGTTTGTATGAGTCATCTCCTCTGGGTTTATCGGAAGAGTAAATTAATTTACCCATCCCATCCCATGCGGCAAAGTGTATTTTTTTGGGCTCAATTAAATGACTCATCAGGTGGACGATATCGAGGCTCTTGGTCTTTTCAGTTGACTTGCCACACACAAGGCGTCGGAAGATAAAGTCCACTTAGGGGTCTTACGCCTTGCCAAAATATTTCTCGGTTTTCCTAGGAACTTGGCAATTTTTCGTAGGCCATTCCCAGATCTGTTGAAGCGATAGTAGAACGCCCACATATTGAGATTGGGACTGGGAAAATTCATTCAATCATAGCGGGAAATTGATACCAAGATCAAGAGCTCTCACCGACCATTTGAGATCGAAGACCGCTGATAAGCAAAACTTGGTGGAAATTCGAAAAAAGGGAGAAACTAAGCCGAGAGCCGATTCCTAGTCATTCTTAAAAATTATGAACATTTGTTGTAACATACCTGAGCAAATTACGAATAACTAACCCTCGCCGCGGGAATCATTTTTCCTTATCTAACAAGACGTTTTGAGCAATCGATCCACATGCACACTCACAGTCGAGGCCTCGGAAAACCTTACTCAATGGATCACACACAAGTCGCCGCTCATGGCGCTTAGCCATCCCGCTTTACCGCTTTCCCTGTCCCTCCGCTCACCTGTCCCTCATCTTCATCTCCCGAGCCTCACCTGCCCCTCATCCCCGCATCCCAGCAGCCCTGCATCTGTGTGTTTTCCTCGGTAATTATCCGTAAGCTGTCAGTTTTTTCGCTCCGCTTCCTCCGATGCACTTCTTGGCTAACATTTTTTGACCATCGTAAGTGAATATTAGAGATGACACACCGCAAAAGTATCGAATCTATAACAATCTACAAATCGTTTTTCTTTAATGTAAAAATTATAAATAATATAAAACAAATTTAATTTATTAGTTTAGAATTAATAATATTTAATTCAACTTCTGTTGAAACTAATTCTAAAATAACATTTATTTATTTTTCGGATTTTATTTATTCTTTCTTTTATTTTAGTATCACATTTAACTTTAATTCTGATTATTTTTTTTCGAAATATTTTAAAAGTTTTGTTACTATTCTGCTTTCCTATATAAGAGCTGCCATCCCTAATTAATACACATATATAAAGAAACCAATATTAGTTGTATGGCCGTTTTCGGGTTTTCGTTTTTTATGACTTGCCGCATTTTTGGCATCCTAATTGGTTTGTTAAGTATGTATTTCCCTGGACCTACCTTTTGGGCCGTCAAAAATTGCCCTCTGTCTTATCGGGAACACACTTTGTCCGAGTGCTGCTGCCGAGATACAAGGTGGTATGTGTCCTAGGCCCCCGGCCGAGTTCTCTGGACCTCTGGCCACTCGCCTGATAAGACGGATCGTGTCTTCTGCGCGCCTCTGGCATGATTCACTTGGTTAGGGTTCCCGAATCCCAATCCGAGTACGAGTCCCCGGCCCACAGGCGATGCTGCGTAGATGGTATAGGTGTATTTGGTGCATTTGGTTCCCCGGGGAGATGACTCACGGGCGGCGTTTACTAGGTGGCCACGTTAATTGTCGCCCCCGATACGCACTGTCTGTGTTTACACCCGTCGCCGTCCTTTCATCTGGCCGAAAAGTAAAAACAAAAATACAAGAAATCAGAAAAACAATCGCCTCTCACATTCGATATTCATTGCTGGCTCTGCATAAAGCGAAGCTCATTTTCCCCCCAAGACGCCTGCTCGCCATCGAAATACCGCCACTTAAATTTGTCTCCGCTGATAAGTTGTCTTTCACTCGGATTGTTTATGAACTCGTTTTGCAGCGAGCCATATATATACCTTCGATAGCTCAGTTGGTAGAGCGGTGGACTGTAGATTGGAATTACGAGTGTAGACATCCATAGGTCGCTGGTTCAAATCCGGCTCGAAGGATTTTTTTTATTTTTTTTTTTTAATTAACTTTAAAAAGGATAAGCCGATACTCAAAACTTATACTCGAACTTATAAAGTCGAACAGTCAGAAAAATACTTTCCTTTTTGTAAAGAAATTTTCATTTCGTCGCCTTTTTGATTGAAGTGAGTACTAGGCTTCAGTATTAAACATTTGTTTGTGAAAACTTGTGATTTGATTTTTTGAACTTCTATTGTCAACTTTTTAAGGAGTTGCTTATGGTTTTAAAATGTAGGCAAGTTAATAATAATACAAATTTTTTGTAAGAGAACCATACTCTTCATGTTATGTTGAACAAAAAATAACTTTAGTTTTAAAACAATACATTCTGTATATTTTCCTATATGAAAAGCAACATTTTGACCTTTTATAAAATAAGGAAAAGAAAAAACCATACATCAAGCATTTATTCTTTTAAAAGACAACCTCAAAAGAATACTCTGATAAATCTGAATCAGATCATAAAGGAGAAAACAAATTGTAACAAAAATTACAGCCCTCAATTTGCATTTGTCCTTTCACAAAGGACCGGCCAGCCACAAAGCCGAGAGCCAAGATCCAGAATAATAATAACAACTGGCAGCCAAAAAGGCAACAAAGGCTGGAGCATCAGCATAAATGTGCAGACTTTTTGACTCACAATCGATGGAATCGAATACAAAACCGACTCTACAGACGTCCTGCCGCTTTGGCTGCCGTTTTCTCTGGCTCATCCGGCTCCTCCGCCCAAAAACAGATGCTATCAATACATCATTTGCCTTTGTGCGGCTGTCACAAATTCATTCACCTGTTCTCGGGCCACGACTTCATCATCAGAAGCCCGAGAAGCCGGAGCAGCCGAAGCAGCCGGGCATCCAGACAATTATACTGCGTTGATCTCCAATTAGGCTGTCGAAACTCCATTTACACGGCCAACGGGCGTCCCATAAAACATCAAGACTGGGCCTTTTATACATACGCTTATAGGGGGGGAAATATGAGGGCATAAAGGCAACAGATTCAGCTCTCTCGTTAAGTTGCAAGTCATCATCGCATCTCCTCCACCATCATCCTCAGCGGCGAGTTAAGTAAATACAAATATGAATGAATATGAATTGCTCACTGGCTCCTTGTGAAGATCTGGATCTGCATCTGGATCTTGGCAGATCATCATCCGGCATTGTCTCAGCCGTCATTCCCCATTCCCCCTACCAAAATTCAAGTCGAGTGTTCGGGCGTACAACTCAAGAGTGTTTGCCCTTTCAGCGATCTCGATCCCGATCTCTTGGCCATATAACAGTTGCACTTTTGCCTCGCTGAAGTTCGAAATTCGTGTAATTTCTTAATGGCTCGAAAATATACCGACATTGCTGCACACATACGTTGTATATTCCTGGGCTCTGAAGCCATATATATGTATAAACGGATCTGGTGTGCTCGACCTTAATTAGTTCAACACTCGTTAGATATTCTGCAAAGCCACAGGCATTCGCCAGTGCGCATTTGCATGCCGATGATTGTGATTATGACGTTGGCATGCCGTCGAAGAACTTAATACTCGCCTTGGAGAATGGCTTTTTCCTCATTACTGAAATTCCAATGGATCATAGTTTGCCGAAAACAGACAGTACAGGTACCCTACAAAAATGTTCAGTCACTTTAAAAGATTAGAAAAAAATGTTTGTAGAATTTAAATAACTTTCTAAACATATTTTATTGAAAAATAAATATTCAATAATTATTGTTTTCGTAGCATTTGCATTTAAATAAAGAAATGCATTCAAATATTCTTAAATTAATAATCGTTTTGAAGCTTTCTTCACATTTTTTGTGTTCCAGTTATAAGCATTTTAATTTCATTCGCTTAAACCTTAATCGTTTGCCTTCACCTACTCAAATCTTCATTGTGCCTGGCTAAAGCACTTAATACCGTGCATAAAGCCAAAGTCTTGGCACTTTAATAACC